GGCGCACTATGACACAAGACTACAGTTCATGTCGGCCTACCATCCGCAAACCGATGGACAGACTAAGCGCACCAATTAGACAATGGAGCAGCTCCTTTGCACAAAATGTCCCGACCCTGCTCGATGGGAAAAGTCCCTCCTAGAGCTAGAACTCGCATACAACAACGCACCGTTTAGCATGACCAACCATTCCCCGTATTTCCTGAATTACAGAATGGATCATATGATACCCACAACGACAACTTCTGAGAACCAGGTTCCATGTTCACAACACTTTGTGTCGAAGCTTCAGGCCGTCCGCGAGAAAGCTCTCGAAGCCATTCGCAAAGCTAATGTAACTGCCTGCAAAGACTCTGATCTCCTACGCTGGGAGATCACCATGGTTGCAGGGCAACTAGTCCTACTCAACATGAAAATACTTCCACTAGCCTTCTCGCCGAAACCCCGCCCACAATATGGTGGTCCGTTCCGCATGATGAAGGTAATTACCCCGGTCATGGCGAAACTTTTGTTGCCCGACGATTGGCCTGTGCACGATGCGTTCCACCTTAGCCTCCTTCGGCCTTTTGTTGCTTCCATGATAGATATCGTCTGCCAAAACGCCGCCCCAATGGCACGACCTGTTTTTGAATCCTATAGGGAGGGAATCTTGTGAGCATAAGAGGTTTCCTTGATTCCACAGGCAGATATGCTTGACGAGGTAAATACCGGGAAGATCAAATTTGTGGCCGACGCTTCAGGTTCTTTGCTCTTTGTGATTACTGCTGGGAATGCCAAGGTGATGGGAGCCAATGGGGAACTTGTGGGGCTGGGGAATGTGCTGCTGGTTGAAGGTTTGTCCGCTAACCTCCTTTCTATGTGTAGGCTGCATAATAGCAAGGCTGAAGTGACATTCAGCCCAACCAGCTGCCGTGCAAAGCTTGAGAAGTTGCTGCTATGGAACCTGGACGAGAAGAGTAGCAGCATCAAGGACCTGTGGCAGCTGCCCATCATCCCTTAGAATGGGAAACCTCCAGCAGCGGCAGCAGCAACGGCAAAGGCAACTGTGGAAGGAGAGGAGACTGCACCAACTGATGGGGCCCTGGATGCAGTCAAGAAGGTGCAGCAGCCACAGCAATCACATGGTGAGGTATTTTCTGGTGTGAATGGAACAGTTTCTCGGGCAAAAGCTTCATCTGGGAGTGGTGAGGCCGATTGGGAGACGTGGCACGAGAGGTTGTGTCACATCCACATTTCTAGCTACAGAAGTTGGTGAAGGATGGGAGCTTGAAGGGGTTGGAGGTAAAGGGGGCAGCAAAGGAGATTGGGAGCTGCCCTACATGCCTTGAGACCAAGTTCACCAAGTTCCCCTTCAGCAGCAGCACAGGACCGGCCAAGGCACCACTTGCAATTGTGCATATGGATGTGGTGGGCGCTACGAGGGCCAACTCTCTCTCTCCGGGAGCCGCTACTTCTTGACCATCGTGGATGACCACACGCGTGTGGTATGGGTGTACCCTCTCAAGACCAAGGAGGAGGTGGCAGCGGCTGTCTTAAAGGAGTGGATGTCGAGAGCTCAAAGGGAGAGCGGACACAATGTGAAGGTGATCCGCACCAACAATGGAGGGGAATTCATTGACGATGAATTTGAGGCGGTGCTGAAGAAAAAGGGGATCCAGAATCAGCTCATAGTGCCTTACAAACCTTAGCAGAACGGCGTGGCTAAGCGGTTCAACTGGAACCTGCAGGAAGGTGCAAGCACTCTCCGTGGACGTGCAGGGCTGCCGGATCCATTTTGGATGACTACACTGCGGCAGGTCGTTCTTGTGAAGAACAGGGTGCTGGCGACTATTAGGAACAAGCAATGGGTCCCCTACACCAAGTGGTATGGGAGTTCACCAGTAGACAACATGCTGAGAGCCTATGGCTGCATGGTGGTGTTTCATGTGTCTAAGGAGAAGAGGGGAAAGCTAGAAGCTTCTGGGAGATGGGGTGTGCATTTGGGATTGCAAAGGACCACAAGGGCTGGCTGTTGTAGGACTTGACCAGCCAGAAGCTGACTGTTTTGAGGGATGTGAAGTTCCTTGAGTCACTGTACGACAAGGAGTGGAAGCAGCAGCACCAGAAGCTTCCCACTACACCGCTGGTCATTGAGGCGGATGAGGTGCAGCGGCCTTCGAGGCAAGTGCAGGTCACTATCTCTGAGGAGATCTTTAGGGTAACTGAAGTTTGGGGAGAACCCGAGGTGGAGCAGTAGCGCAGCAAGATGCTGCACCACATGCCCCACACCCGCCTGAGCGTCCTAGAAGGGATGTACGCCCTCCTGCCAGGCTGACCTATGCAAGTCGTGGCACGCCAAGTGTCCTGCCAGCTGGGGGTGTGATTGAGCAGTGTGATGAGGATGAGATAGCCTATTTCTATAGGCCTGAAGTGAGAAGGTTTGGAGGATAGTGTTGTAAGAGAGGGGCTGCAAAGGGGTGCTGCAAGTTTGAGAAAAAATGAGATGTGCGAATGTTCATTGAGATGCGTGTTGGAAGTGAATGAAGCTTGGTGGAATGTGTGTGCATTAATTGTGCATGCATGAGCTGAGGCATGTGAGGTGATGGTTGGCAGCCATAGGGGGAGTTTGTTGTGTGATGCTATCATTTGCATTCACGTCTGTCTGCCTCCCATCATATGTTCGTGCGTTGCATGCATGGTGTGAGCGTTGTCAATAATTTCTTTCTGGTGTGGTTTGGATTTTTAGAGTGTGTGTGTGTGTGTGTGAATGTTATTTTGCTTGAGCAGATAACTGAAGTGACTCATCTGCTCAAGAGCTTTCCGATGAACCAAAGATCGCTTCAATCGGAGCACGAACGAGAAAGTTACAAACGGTTGAAGTTCGTATGCTTTTTATATTTGGTTGCAGCGACTATGGGAATTTGTGGGGTTAATCTACATAAGATATAGACCATTTGGGGTTGAGAAATTCGTCACCATCACTGTAGATGATGTCAAGTGGTTGGGAGAAGCCAAACCAGATTTGCAAGTGTGGCAAAGTTGGGAGAGGTGGATTTGAGAGGTTGGGAAAAAGACAAGGGTTAAGGTTGGGTTCCTATAGAGAGGGAATCTTGTGAGCATAAGAGGTTTCCTCGATTGGGGACTCCTTGGGGACCTTCCCTCTAGTCCTCCTCTTCCCTCCTGTCTGGTTTCTAGCTACTCTAATTCCCTTGTATGGTACTTGTGAGATAATTGTGATTGAGTTAAGTTTCTGTGGCAGCATACCCCCCGGTGCGCCGAAATTCATAACTCCGGTTTGACTTCACGTAATGATACGATTCGATTTGGGAATTGGGAATTGAAATTGGTGAAGGTTTCATGGTGCAATTTTTGTCTACGACGTTTTTTGTGAAGTCTAGGTTTCTGTCCAGAAATATAGTGAAACGATTTTGAGATATTTCGGCCCCTAATCTTCATAGACTCCGTCCTTAGTTTCCAACACTGAACCGACGCTTGACTCGTCGAAAATCCTGAAGTACCGCGTACGACTAGATGCAAGTGGGCACCATGTGGATTTTTTGATCCATTGGACTGACCGCACCAGCGAGGACGATACTTGGGTGCCATCCGCCTCGCTTGAAGCACCTTCGCTGCTTCAGGATTACCTCGCCCGCAAGCGTGTCATGGACATTGGCCACGAGGAGGGGGGGGGGGGGGGGAGGGGGGATGGTTGGTGTAAGGGTACATTCCGCGCTGGACACTTTCTCAAAGAATGTGTCCCAATCGATTTTGGCCCGAGTCGCCCTCAAATGTCTCGAGTCCTCATGTCCCAATCGACCAATGTACCGCGACATTGTACGACCAGGGCAACAATTATGTGTGAACAAATATGATTGGTGATTTCTGGTGGGGGCCCAGGGTTTAGCCGCGTCATATGCACCACCACTGCCAGGCCCGCAAATGAACATGGGGGGTGGCGGGGGAGGTCGCGGAGTGTTACCGACGGCTGCGCAACCCCCAATAATTGCCATACACAAAATTACGATGGTCGCAGTACATCACGAACAAGCACAACATAAAGCAAACAGCGCTCAATTCGAGCCACAACGCTCGCAAGATCTACGCACCATGGCTGAGCCAAGGCCCATCCCGTTCATCGTACGCCTACTTGTCGCCTAGGTCACGTACTACTACACAATCTTCCACGAGACTGTCGCCAAGTCCTTTGTCGGACTGATTGAGGCTGGTATACTCGAAGACGCGGACGAGCAGTCCTCGTCTCTTGGGGACGACAACGCGGAGAACCACCGTCACAGAGCGAGAGTACGGCGGCAACGCCATGCGCTGTGGGTTGACGACCTGCAACATATGTGGGAGAACGATTTCCAAGACATTTTCAGAATCAATCGCGCCATACTTGAGCACATCAAGACTGGCATGCGCCAATGTCTTGAACCAATCGTACATCGGTCCTGGATTACAATGGACACAGCTTTGCTCATCCCTATAAAATACTTAGCAAGCGGAATCTCCTTCGTCGATATGTCATACCTCTTTGGGGTCTCCAAGACACTCTGCCACGAGCTAGTCGACCTCTTCCTCACCGAGCTCCCCGCCCTCTTCAAGGCCGCTTGGGTGCGATTCCCCACACGAGCAGAACTTCCAGAGTTGGCGCGTGAATTCGCCGCCATGAAAGGTGTGCATGCAGTGGTGGGAGCTATAGACGGGACTCACATCCACATGAGTGGGATAGAGGGGCACCGGACCGAGTATCGGACAAGGAAATAGGCATACGCAGTGCAGCTCCAGATCACATGTGATGCACGGGGAAGGATATGGGATTACCTCATCGGTTATCCCGGCAGCGCGCACGACCTGCGTGTGTTCAAAAACTCCGCACTATTGGAAAGGTTACAGAACGGTGACATAGACCCCTACCAAATTGTCGGGGATGCGGCATACCCGCTCAGAGAATACTGCCTAACCCCACTTCATGCCCCATGCGGAGAGGATCTAATGGACGACTGGGCCCAGTGTTTTAACTACTGCCAGAGCGCTACGCGCATGGCGGTGGAGAGGTGCATCGGCGCCTTCAAAGGAAGATGGCGCCTCTTCAACGGGCGCAATGATTGCAGGTTATGGCGCATTCTTGCCGGGGCCGCTTGCTGTGTGATCCTGCACAACATGTGTGAAAACATGGCAGACGTGAGGAGCGTGAATATGGCCTGGTTCCATCTGCCCCGCAACCGCGACCCATGGTGGACAAGGGGAGCCGTCGCGGATCACAAGTGGGAACCATGTGTCCCCGCGACACAACAGGCCCTGAGGGAGAGAAGGAAAAGACTAGGGGAAGCTTTGCAAGAATCTTACGCTAATTGTCGGCGCCGCGGACCCATATCTCCACATCGTCATCAACCGGAGCGACGGTGTTGACATCGCCGGCCTCGTCGCGCTGCACGCCGGCATCGCCTCCAACTGCGTTTAGCGCGGCACGCCCGGGAGGTGGTGCAGACTCCCTGCGTGGCGGAGGATGGCTGAAGTCCGTTGTTTCCCGATGCACATGCGGTGGAACTGATTTAGTCATGCGCTCGTGGGCTAGGCGCAATTCCTGCGCCATCCATTCGCGGACGAGACCCTCGATGCGCGTCATGGCGTCACCGTGGCAATCCTTGATGGTCGCAGATACAAGCATGGCGGCTTGCATAGTCGCCGTCTCATGTACCCTTGTGCGCTTAGGTGTAGCGTTGGTTTGCGGCGGCGATGCTGTCACAGAAATGCATGGAAGCACGCAAGTTGTGATTAGTAGCTTCAATAGTGTACAATCATTCTAACGATTGATACAAATTGACAAATAGCCGATTGTTGCTTGACGCCCATAAATGACCACGGTACGCGCATGCGGAACAAGAACCGAATCTCACCTGTGAAGGTCGGCGTCGAAGTGACGGGCTGGGAGGAACTTGGTACCTCCATGCCCGCCTGCACGTTGACGTTCGTTGCGCCGCCGCTGTCTACCGCATGCGGTGCGGCTGCAGCGGTGTCCTTGTTGAAAGAGCTCCAAGTACAGCCACCATGGCGGTTTCTCCACAGATCCGTTGCCCGAACCACCATCTCCCTGCTTGTATTCCTTCCAGATCAGCATCAAGTTGCGCCACTGCTCCTGCAATGCATTGACGTTCCTGCACCAACCCGGGGTTCGACTCCTTGATGTGCGCGAGAAGGCGCACCCAGTACTGCGTCCCCTGCTTGCCCTTAAGCGGCTCAAGTTCTTCCTTAGTGAACCAACGCGCCGCGGCGAAGATGGTGCTTTCCTTGTCCGACCACATGCCCCTCTCTACCGGGGCAGCCAACCGCTTCTTCAGGGGCTCCTGTCGTGGCGGTGGTGCAGCCGCCTTGCCTTTGCCTTTATCAGCGGCAGAAACACGAGGGGCGCTCCGTTTTGGCGGCTGAGTCACAGGTTGCACTTCCTCCTCCGCGTCGTCGTCGGCGTCGTCATCGTCTCCCTCGTCGTCTGACGGGGACATCCCCGTATCCTCAGGCTCTTCGTTCTCCTCGTCACTGCCGTCGGCTTCTTCGGCGTCTTCCTCATCGTCGTCATCCACGAACTTCTCGACGACGGGCCGAATTGTTGCACCGGTTCGAGGCGGCTGGCGGCACACACGTGACGGACCGGCGCTGGGTGACGGTGCACTAGAACCCTGCTCGTCAGGCGCGGGCGGAGCGGATAAGCCGGTAGGATGACGGCCGTTAGCGATCTGTTGGTTCATCCAGCGGATGTACGGGATGTCGTTAAGGTCCTTGGGGCAGTCGTTAAGGGATTGGCCCTTATGCTTACGAGCCATTACGGGAACACAGAGCGTGTCACGATCTAGATCTGGTGTGACAGGGAGGAAAATGTTAAAGTTTGACTGGAACAGGCTATACATTTCTTCTATCTGATGCTGTATGTGTTTGGAGGAGGGGGAGTTGAGGGGAAAGTGTATTGACCATGGGGGGAAGCTGTGCTGGCGGGAAGTGCGCGGGCCTGTCAATAATTCCGTGTGTGTTGGCTCGACCAATCACGCTGCATTGAACGCGTTGATAGGGATATGGGTGTCTGTTGAATGTTGTCTAGGTACATGGAGCATGTGGGGACATTTGGCACCGCGTGCGATACCGTGAATGTGTTGCGATGGTGTGCAATTAGCATGCGATTGTTCTGCAGTTCACGTCAACCAATTATTAATGCGTTCGGCGACACCCACGTGCGGCCCGGGTTTCGGACACCTGGCAGCATAAGCTGTACATACGCGCCACAATCGATTGGGACACTTTCTTTGAGAAAGTGTCTAGCGCGGAATGTACCCTAAGAAAAAACCCTTTCCTTGGTCAGGGTTTACTGCCTTCGGAAGTGCACGGTCGGTTGGTTTCCTTGACACCAAAGCAACCTCGCGTTGTCTTCAGTTTCCCTTTGCCCAATGCACCCAACCTCGTATTCCCGAGGCTCCCGCCCAGCTAGGTTGGCCCGCTATAATAACTCGTGTCATTCATTGTATTGTTAGTCCATATTGTTATTCTTTAATCCGCGCAACTCTGTGAACAACTCATAGCAGTAGCCTACATCCAACTTTGGGCCCCGCCCCTCCCCGTCCACCCCCAAATTCAAATGCACTCCATAAATCACAACTCGTCAAATTGAAATAATATATGTACAAGGGTCTTACAAAATCTGTGGATATTCACCCTAATATATGGATTTATAAATATCCCCCAGGTCCTATACCCGGGGACATATGGGGATTTATGGCAGTTTGCCTCACAGTGGGGTGTGAAGCAGCCCGCGTTCTGAGAATTCAAAATAATCATTGGCTGCTGCATCGATGGTGTCTGTTTGTGGTGTGACTGACAGTAGTGGGGTGTGACATAATCCGCTGCAGTGCCCTTCCGGAATGCATTTGGGAGAGGTGGGCGGCGAGCAGGTGGGCATCCACTGGCTTCTGCAGCACACCGTCAAACCCCCCCTCTGCACACCTCTCCACCACTCCGCGATCCACATCTGCCGTCAGGGCCACTATGGGCACCTGCAGAGACCCTACCCACCCACCATCACCAGCAGCAGCAGCAGCAGGAGCACCAACACCAGCGCCAGCAGCAGCAGGATTTGAAGTTTCTAGGAGAGGGATGCAAAGAGCAGAAGGGGTTTGCTGCTGCCTTTGCTGGTGCAATTGCTGTGCCCGTGAAATGGTTTCAAACCTCACCCTCCTCTCAAGAGCTCGTATGGCTGCTGCTGCTGCGAAGCTGCCATGGCAAGAGGAACAGGGGGAAGGGAGGAAAATCAAGCAACAGGGACATCAAGCTTGTATGGATAAAGTTAGCAACGAAAAAGGTTCACGCAGGAAAAAGGTTTAGTACGCAAATTCATGACTCAGGTTTAGTATGCACGTTCACGACTCACCCATCCATGCCCACCCACCACTCACCACCACTCACAACCACTCACCCGTCCATGCCCGGCATCTGCAGGTCCATGAGAACCAAGTCGAAGCCATGATGCAATGATGATGCACCCGCCTCCTGCTGTCCTTTCGCCTTGTCCTTCCCTCTGTCCTCCTCCTGCTGCCCTCTTGCCTCCTGCTGCATTCTTCCCTCTTCCCCAAGTGCCTCCTGCCCACTCTCCTCCTCCTCCGCTCTCAACCCCACCAAGCCAGCAGCGATTAACTCAACCGCCTCCTCTCCACAGGAAGCGGTGGTGACGAGGGCACCCCAGCGGGCGAGGGAGCGGCGGGCCACGAGGAGGTTGACGGGCGTGTCGTCCACCACCAGCACTCGCAGCCCTTCCACCCACGCCCGCGTCACCGCCTCATCCGCCGCAGTAGCAGTGGCAGCACCAACACTGGCTGCACGGGCACTCGTTCCCAACGCACACAGTGAGATCGATCGCTCGTATCTCGCACTCGCACCCCCAATCCCACTCCTACTCACACTCAATTTCTCACTCTTGCACCGGCCACAATGGGTGAGTGTCACTCCCTGGTGCTGCTGCTGCTGCTGCTGCTGCTGCTGCTGGTGACGCTGGTTCTGTTGAGGCACCTGATCACTCTCCTGGCCGTGCGGCAGCAACCATCTGCTGCTGGCACCTGAAAAATATCCTGAATCTGCCTCACGCGCGTGGAAACTGCTGGAGGCACCTGAGAGGTCACCTGAAGCACTCCTTTGCCCCTCACCATGCCATACAACTCCTTGATTCTGTTGACTCTGCTCCTGATTCTCCTGCTCCTGCTGCTGCTCCTGCTGCTCCTGCTGCTGCTCCTGCTGCTCCTGCTGCTCCTGCTCCTGCTGCTCTTGCTCCTGCTCCTGCTGCTGATGCTGTGGTTGCTGATTGCTTGACTGCAGTTCGTCTAAACAGTGTTCTTGTAACGAGGGCATGGCTACAGGCACAGAGAAGGCAACTATGCTGCCACACCCGGGCTCTGAGTCGAAGGCGAGCTCTCCCTTCAATAGAGTCACCTGGGGGGTAGCAGGAAGGTGGTGGGAGATGAAAAGGGTGCTTCTGCAATTGAGAACCAGACCTAGGATTGAGAACCAGACCTAGGATTGAGAACCAGACCTAGGATTGAGAACCAGACCTAGGATTGAGAACCAGACCTAGGATTGAGAACCAGACCTAGGATTGAGAAGCAGCAGCAGCAGCAGCAGCAGCAGCAGCAGCAGCAGCAGCAGCAGCAGCAGCAGCAGCAGCAGCAGCAGCAGCAGCAGCAGCAGCAGCAGCAGCAGCAGCAGCAGCAGCAGCAGCAGCAGCAACAAAGCAACAACAGCAGTGAAAATGAAGAATGGACAGATTTTTTATTGACTCACCGTTTGCTGCACAAACACGAGCCCGAGTGCTGCCCCCGCACACTCCTCTTACTCTCTTTATCTTTGAGACGCCTAAACATTGGACTTGGTATCAAAGTGTAGGCAAAAAATGAAGTTCGATCGACTCACCGTTTGCTGCGCCAACACGAGCCCAAGGCCTGCCCCTGACCCACTCCTTGCTCCCCTCTAGTTTTGGGACATCTCAAAACTCGGAAACGGCAACACAGTGAAACGAATAAGGATGTCTGATGCACTCACCGTTTGGTGCACCAACACGAGCCCAAGGGCTGCCCCTGAACCACTCCTTGCTTCCCTTTGCTCCCGCGATTCCTGGTAGAGTAAAGAGATAACAGCGTGGGAGTGGGGCATGTTACTATTCAGCTGAGAGCATTCACAGACGACTAGAGTAGTAAGAGATGAGGCGTGATGAGAAGAGAGTGTGTGAGTGCGAGGGCCTATTTTTGAGGCGCCTCAAAATTGGGGGCATGTTGTTTCAGTCAACTGTGAGCATTAGCAAGGAAGGGGTGAGAGCAAATTTTTTAGTCGACTAAAAAGAAAAGGGCGAAGAGATGGGGCATGTTGAGAAGATAGAGTGAGAGTGTGGGGGGTGTGTGAGGTAAACCATTAGAGAAGCGGAGTGAGAGAAGGAGAGGACGGGGTACGGGGAGGGAAGAGGAGGAAAGGGGAAGGAAGTGGAATTGAGGGGAGGAGAAGGAAGGGAATTGGAACAGAGGGGAGGAGAAGCGGGGGGAGGGGACGGGAGGGGAGGAGAGGGGAGGGAAGGGGAGAAGAGGGGGAGAGGAGGGGAGGGGAAGAGTGGGGAGGTCATGGGAGAATACGGGACGGGACGAGAGGTGAGGAGAGGGGAGGGGAAGGGAGGGAAGGGGAGGGGATGAAAGGCGGAAGAGGAACGAAGGGAGGGGGGCAGATGGAGGTGACAAGAGGGACGAGGCGGGGAGCAGAAGGGAGGCAAACAAACAAGGCTTGCGAGGACAGAGAGGTAGAAAAGCCCTTGAGTGCCACCTGGTATGTGGAGAGACATTGGAAGGCAAGCGTTTAGGGTAACAACACCATGTGTCGGGCTGGAGAGAAATGTAGAAAGCTCAGCAGCAGGGAGGGAGACAAACAATCAAGGCTCACCAAAAGGGAGAAGTAGGACGGCCCTACAGTGCCCTTTACTTGCAGTGTGGAGAGACGTTAATAGCCCAGCATCTGAGTTTCAATACCGTGAGTCAAGTAGGAGGGAGAGGGACGATGCTCACATACAGGGAGACAAACAATCAAGGCTCACCAGGAGGGAGAAGTAGGACGGCCCTTGAGTGACACTTGCTGTGTGGAGAGACGCTGGAAGGCCACAGCCCGAGTCTTGGCACGACAGCACCAGCATGCACCGCTCTCCACCCCTCTCTTGCCCACTCCCATGGCCTATCCGACGCCCTCGGCCACGCCCCCTTTCCTGATATTTAGAGCGCTTCCTGCCTTGACTCTCATGTCCTCTCTCATGCCTCCCCTCTAGACTTGCACTGTCTGCTGCAACTGTTGTTGCTGCTGCTGCAACTGTTGCTGCTGCTGCTGTTGCTGTTGCTGCTGCTGCTGTTGCTGTTGCTGCTGCTGCTGTTGCTGCTGCCCCCCCCCTCACCACCTCGAGCAGGCAGCGCCGTCTAGAAGTAAGCCAGGTGGGCATCCAACGGGCAGTGGCAGCAGTGGGTGCTCGTGGTGAGGTAAGGCCTGCAGTAGAAGGGGGATCAGGAGGAAGAAAAACGTGTTTTTTAGGTGGTGAAGGAAGAGAAGCCAGGCAGAGCAAGGTGGATGGCCAGTTGACAGTTGTAAGAGTGGGTTCTCGTGGGATGGCTGAAAAAAGGCCTGAGGTAGTGGGAAAATGTGATTCAGGAAAGAAAGGGGAGCAACGGGAGTGAAGAGAGAGGTTGGGAAAAGATGTGGGACGAGAGAGGGAGGGTGGGTTACAAATCAAGAGAGGAGTGGCGGGGACCGAGGATAATATATGTTTAAAACAGATAGCGCATGAGCATGCATGCAACCGCTCCCATGTTAACCAACCAACCTTACCCTGGCAACAAAGGGTGTCTTGCAAGCTTGTCCCTTGCAGCACCAGGGACACCCGCACTGTCACGTGGCCTTGTGTCGTGAACTTGACCGCGTTATCTGAAACGCAACCGAGGAAGTAGTAACCAGAAGAAGTAACCAGAGAATGGTAACCAGAAGTGGAACATGTCAGAAATCAGGGAGATGAATTATGAGCAGGGGCTAGACAGGTGCACTGTGGTTATTCAAATCAATTGGACACCGAGCAATTTCAGTTACATGTCACACACAGTGCACTTGGCCATGTTGCCGAGGTGCATGAGGAGGGTTCACAATGACATGCGTTACCATCACACACTCCACACGCTAACCATCACCCAACACAGCCTCTGGCTCATCCGTGACAGGCTGTCACTGACAGCTGTGGACCGCTGCTTGCTGGAACATGCCTCAAGACCCACTCAACCGTGATCTCCTTGAATGCATTTCTGCTGAAGTGCGAGGGGTTCACAACGACACACATCACCTCACCACACCCACCCGCTTACCATCACCATCACTCTAACCACAACCTGGGGTGCACCTGTGATCTCCCCGACCATGTCGCTGAGGTGCAAGGGGTTCACAATGACACACATCACCTCGCCACCACACATCACCACTCTCAACCCCGAGCTTACATGTGATGCCCTTGACCATGGTGCTGCTGAGATACATGAGGCTCACAATGACATGCGTGGGGCAGTCATCACCCACACTGCCGCTCACCGGCCTATGTGTGGGTCCACAATGACAACATGCATGTGTGAGGCGGTTACCATCGCGTGCTCACACCACCCCACCCACTTACCATCATGTACACTCTAACCACAGCCATGAGCCCACCTGTGGTCTCCTTGCCCATGGTGCTGAGATGCATGGAGTTCAGGCGCGACATATGATCCCATCCCACCACCGCGCATGGCTGACCAGGGCTACCTTGGTAGGGCGTAAGCCTGACCCGAGGTCCGCATTAAAAAAAAAAAAAAAAAAAAAAAAAAAAAAAAAAAAAAAAAAAAAAAAAAAAAAAAAAAAAAAAAAAAAAAAAAAAAAAAAAAAAAAAAAAAAAAAAAAAATCGTCGCACAAATCATCGCACATCACCACTCTTATCCGCGGGCCCACCTGTGATCTCCTTGATCATGGTGCTGAGATGCATGGGGTCCACAATGACATGTGTGGGGCAGTCGTCTCCCACAATGGCGCTCACTGCATGGGAACGAAGGAGGGTGGAAGTTTCTAGCACGTCAGCACGGGAATGAGGCCAAGGTATACAAGGCAAACTGACTTCGGAGGCGCGTTGAAAATCGCCTCACGACACGAGAATGAGGCAAGATACATGGGACAAAGTGATGCTACTGGAATGAGACACATGAGGCATGGGACACAAGACAACAATGAGGCATGTTACACAAGACAACAATGAGGCATGGTACACAAGTCAACAATGTGATAGCGGAATGAGACACAGAAGGCACGTGATAAAAGATTGGATTTGAGACGCCTCAGAACCACGTGATCAAAGATTGGTTTTGTTTTGAGACGTCTCAAAATCAGTCATTGATCAGGAAGGTGGAACTTTCCAATGTATGATTGCGGGAATGAGGCTAAGGTACACAGGGCAAAATGATGCCGCTGGAATCAGACACACAATGTCAAGAACAGTGAGACACATAATGCATGTTATACGATCTTCGCAACAACGTGGCGGGGCTCTCCTGGCGATTCATCAACACACGTTCTTCCATCCGCCACTCACGCTCAATGCCTTTGGAATGTGCCGCCTCTGCGTGCCAACCCAGAGTGGTACTAAGCCACTCCCGCACGTCAATCACCGCCTCATCCACCACCGCCTTGCCTGCCTCCAGCTTCGCCAGGTCCAACACGCGGTTGACCAGATGCAGTGCATCTTTTGCCGATGCCCCGGCCATTAGCAGGTCTGCTAGCTGAGAGGCGTTCAGGCCCATGTCTGCTTGAGCGTCAATCATCCCTGGTGGGAGAGAGAGGGAGTGGGTGCGGAAGAAGGGTGCAGGTGTGGAGTCAAGCGAAGGACGCAGTTTACCTGATGCAATGCATCCTTGGCCGATGCTGATACCATGAGTAGGTATGAGAGGACAGGCAGGTCGGAATGGGAAAATATAATTAGCAATAACAACGACAACGACGCCAGCGGCGGCATCGGCAGCAGCAGCAACAAGAACAGCAGCAGCAGCAACAACAACAAGAACAGTAGCAGCAGCAACAACAACAACAAGAACAGTAGCAGCAGCAGCAACAACAACAACAAGAACAGTAGCAGCAGCAGCAACAACAACAAGAACAGTAGCAGCAGCAACAGCAACAACAACAAGAACAGTAGCAGCAACAGCGACAGCAACAGCAACAGCAACAGCAACATAGTCAGCAGTGATAAGCACAACAAGTACATCTATATATGAAGTACGGCTGCTGCTGGTGTGGCTGACTTCCAACCAAAGGAGAAGGACAAGGCATGTGAATGAAACAAGATGTTGTACATACCAAGAATCATGACAGGAAAATCTCATGACGATACGAGTACCATCAATTCCATACCACTGATTACGACCATGAACATCCAACGCCGATGCAACATGCACACCGTAACCATGCTCTTTGACGCCTTTTGAGTTGACTCAAAAGTCATACAACTGATTACGACCATGAACGTCCAACGCCGATGCAACATGCACGCAGTAACCATGCTCTTTTGACGCCTCCCATCTCAGCATATCAACCATTGGTTCTACTTTGTTTTTGTGATCATGCGGGCGCTGAGGTGGCAGTCCCTCGGGCAGATTACAGGGGGAAAACGGTGAATGCCATTCAACAATTCCGCGAACTCCTACGGGACAGCAGCCAGCAATTTTTGGAAATCACTCGGCTGCCCTGCTTCATTGATTTGACGGCATGTTTCAACACGATGGCATAAACATGGACCATTGAAAAATCAAGCGAGAGCCAGCGAGGTTGTAGCG